ACACATACCTATCTACACCCCTAGTGAGAAGAGGACAGCCCAAATGATCTTGATCATGGCAGACAAGAAAAGGATGTTACTGCCCTCGGGACTTACTCCTGCAGCCATAAAGTCGTTGAGCAAAGTTTAGCTAGCCAACTGCAGATACTGGATTCGGTTCATAAAGAGACACCCTATGAGCTTAATGCTATTCATGTTTCCCTGAACACAAACTATAGTGCAGATGATCTTGATGTTTCTATGCAGTTCGAAAAGGGAATCGTCCTTGCGTTAAACTATCTTTTTTTTTTTGAAATATTGCATTAAACAATCTTTATCTAACTTCATTTTACATAATTGCTTATCACCTTCTTGTAGAGCCTTTCTATCATCATTGTCTTCTGTTTCAGTTCCACAATGCTAGCAAGAAGCTCTAACAAGTCCAAGGTGGAAAGCAAATGTCAATGATGAGATGAGAACCTTGACTTAGTTTATTTTATCTCTTTTGATGGAATTGTTTCATACTTCTTCTAGCATTAATTCTAGGTTTGACCCTCTATTTTTCAGGGCTTATACCCATAAATCTTTCTTTCACCTATATCCATAAATTTTCAACTATTGTTCTTATTCTCTTAGTGACATTTGCAATAGAATTGTGTGTTTGGCTTCTCTGTGGGATAAAGTGAGCAGTTTCTTCAGAGGATTCCTCTTTTTATGCTTTAGAGTGATCAAGTTGCACAATGATTGATAGTTCTTTTTTTTATGTTTCCTCTATTTTGCCTTTCTGGAGGATTGCTTATCCAGCTGGAGGATGTACTTTACTTTTCTTCATCTAATATATTTTTTTTCTAAGAAAAAAAAAATATTAAAAAACCACATCAACCATGAGAAAAATTAATCAGTTCAGCCATATGATATAGTTAATGTTCCCTGTATAGGAAATACAAGCTCGCTGAAGTGCTAAATACCCAAACAAAAACCGTTGGCTCCAATTCACCCATAAAACGGTGGCTTCCAATTCTAAGACAAACACCCACCTAGCTCTGTCACCTTGTCAGAATCCTAATTATACAGTTTAACGGACTAGTGCAGACAACTGACGTCCAACGATCATAGAGTGCCTTGTCTCCTAAATCATTTTAGCACTTCGATCAGACAAAGGATTAATAAAATGAAAGAGTTCACTCTGGCTCTCAGTCTTGCTGGTAAAGCCAGATGTCAAAATCATTACAAAGAAAAAGCATGTTAAACATGGAAGCAACATGCAGTTAGCTGAGAAAAGCACAGCATCCCGCTGCTTCATTCCTCCATACCACCCTTCTTGAACTCACAGCATAAACAAAACAGGAAAATAATACAAATCCATAAAAGAATTTTAAAAAATTATCCAGATAAGGATTTTCAAGCAACCTACTTACTTACACAAGCTATCAAGAGTTAGTGAAGAAACGTACCAGCGTCTAATTATGAATTAAAACCTATCGGCGTCTAATTATGAAGTAAAACCTATCAACATCTAATCGGTAACAGAAAGAAGAAAACGCAAAATAAAAATTGAACTAAAATAAGAAAGGAACCGGAACAAGTAAAGAAATAAAAAGGATGGAATTGAATACCTGTTGGACATAATTAGCATGCATTACAACTAGGATAGAAAAGAGCGTAATGGCGATGAAGAGATACATATACTCCAAAAAGGCCCTGACCCTTGGCGTTAGAATTTGCGAAAATCTTTCCTGCACTCTTATGAACGTTTGCTCTGGATCCATCTCCGTTCTCTTCTTTTGATTTTCTGTTGTCTTCTACGATCCCTATCTGCTATATGTCTCCAGCTTATTGTCTCGTATGAATTCCCAAAACGGGATACATAACAAATGAATTGCGCTAAACATGCACAGGGTAGCTGGAGATAATCACTGTGTCTTGCTGCTGAATCGAATTTTTGTATTTAAATTTTTTATTTAATAATATAATAAAAATCTTAATTGCAAAAATAGTCTTAACTTTTGATTCATTTTCTCATTTTATTCTTTAATTAACTTGTTAATATTACAGTAGCTTTTTTTTCAATTTTTTACTTTTCCCCAATTAATATTTTAATTAACTTATTTATAAAATAAACAGATTTATGGAGAATTTACGTATTAACTAAAACACGTATTAATGTATTTTATTTAAAACTTTACAATAACTTTAAAAAATTTTAAATTTTAATTTTTCTGTTAAAATAGGCTAACTTTTCGATACGATGTCAATTGTAGGTCATCAATTTATAACCATAATGTATATTAATATACACTACTAAATTATCATGCAAACTCAGCTCACTATTTTTGCAATTAAGCATGTTACAAATGATGAATTTGAATTTTTATTACATCAAATTAAAGTTGTAAATTTTCAAATGCTACCTATCATTTTGTAATTTTTTTAAAAAAAAAATTGTTCCATTCCAATAAATTTACATAATTGTCATCGGTTAACCATTCTACTGACTTTATTTAATCATAATTTATGTTTACAACAGCATGAACCATGAATCATAGTTTATGTTTATAACATCATGAATCATGATTTTAAAATATTTTATAACATCAATTACACATATTTTATGATGGCCTCCAGAGGAGATCGAAAATTTTGGACCTCTACTCCTTATGTGGAGGAGAGACATAACTTATCCACCAAACTTGAGTTGACTAAGTCGGTTATACACAATATATATATATATATATACTTGAATATCTTAAGTTGTTTCACATACAAACTTTAATTTGTTAAACAATTGTCCAACTAGGGCATCATACAATAACATTGAATATTCTATGACTAAAATTGTCTAATTTAAACATTACATAATTATAATTTGTTTAATTTAGAAAAAAAAAAAAAAAAATCAATCCACAGATCTCCATGGCAATTTCGGTCACTTTGACACAGCACAATATATTATAACCATTGCGAGACTAACGAACACAACAACAACAAGATTCCGCTGCCAACAAAATGAGCGAAGAAAAACGAGGAAAATAAATGAAGAAAAGAAAACTAATCGGCTAGAGGAAAAGATCGAGACCAAGTGGCACTACCAACTGGGGATTAAAGGACTTGGTCCTAATGATGCTAAGATGTCAACTGAGATAAAACTTCATTAAGTTCCTGACCAAATAATTTTTTGGTACATTTCAAAAACGTATGATGATATAATAACTTTAGCAACCAGTCAATATGATTCAAATGGTGCTAGATTGTTTGCTGCAAGGATTCTGAAACCAAGGACCAATGGATGCAGGAAGCCAATTAAGATATTAGAATTAAGGATAAGTAACCTATTGCCTCCTGAGTAGCGGAATTCAAAATCACCTAGTGAGCACGGGTCATCTTTACTTTTGGCATTGCTTTTTTCATCTGACGAGCACGCTCTTTTGCCTCTTTTTTGCGAATAGCCTCAGCGCTGAGCTTAGCCTCTGCCTCCTCCAACATCTTCCTCCTCTCAGCCTTCTTTTTCTGCAATGCTTCTTGCCTAGCATTTTGAAGTTCTTTATATGCTTCTTGGGCAGCCTTTGCTCTAGCCGTCTCAGTTTTAGCTCGTGCCTGCATTGACAGAGATCATGGTTTGTTCATTAAGTGAGATTAAATAAATCTAAATTTCCTTTAGGAATTTCACTAAATATCATCTACCGGGGAGCTGAGCTTGTAACGTCCAACTAAGTCGATGTAGTAGGGTACAAGGGCCACCAACCGAGTCATGTCAGCCATATGGTTGACATCGGGGAGGGCAAACTTAAACAAAAGCATCTTCTTGTGTGTGGTGGGATGTTGATCAGAAAAATGCATTGAAATAAAACCCTTTCCATGTTTCTCAAAGGCTTTATCTCCAAAAACCTGAAAGGTATAGTTGCAATTTAGATTTGCAGAGTAAGTAGAGATAATGCTAGAGTTGCTATCTGATATAACAAACAGTCGTTGCATGCACTGGATTTACAACAAGAACAAAATATAAATAAATTATGAGCATAAAACAACCCCGAGGTCTAAGAAAATCCCAATAGACCAGTTCAGGCACAGATGAACCAGAAACATTAGTAATCCAATAAGGCTTAAGTACACGGTTAAAGTCAAACTTCTCTCCAAAGTTGTGATCAAAATGCAATCACTTCTTCCAAGATAGGGGTCTATTTTGTGTCCAAGCAACAACAAAATTTCTTAACACCATATTTCTATAAAGGGAATTGGGAGGAAAGAAAACAAAAGGTGGAATACTCCAAGTAATTTTCTTGTTTGGACAAAAAATAAGAATTAGTGAGGGATAGAAAGAACCTTTTAGAAATCTAAAATTTCCCTTCCCCAAAAGTGGGAGGACAAGAGGGGAAAGGAAAAGCTGAAAATCTTAACAGGAAGTTTCTTCTATTTTATCCTTAATTGTCTACCCAATCACTCCATTAAATTAAAGGATATTATTGACAATTTTTTACATTTAATCTTTTCATTTCCTTTATAAACCTAAATCAAACAAAGTACTTCCACAATCCTTTCCTTTCCTTTTCTTTTTAATTTTAAACTATCCAAACAAAAGAAACATGTTTCTTTCCTTTTAAAGCCCCTCTTTTCCTTCTATATATGTACACACTTCTTCTTTTAGAGAAAAAAATCCTCAATTTTCCTTTCCTTCCCTCCACATTCTTACTAATTTTTACCCTTAAATAGTGTCAAGGACAATTATATTAATTTTTTGGAGACAAAGAAGTGTAGAGTATATACTAATATGATACCAAGGGGGTACCACCCATTTACAAAAAATTTATAATTATGTTAGTGTATTAATGACATTTCCGAAATTCTCATCCCCAAAAAAAAGTATTTATAAATACCTCCTTTGGTTCCTTTGTTTGCCTTTTCTAGGATCGGTTAACAATCCTCGAACCAAAGACCATGGTTAAGTAATGCTTAACCAGCAGAGCACCTTGTGATAATTGGTGATAATTACATATGACAATCAAATTAATTGATAATGCTAGCAACAGAATAGAAGCAACACCTTCCCCCCCCCCCCACCCCCCCACCTCCCCAAATTACTTGTTACCCCCATCATGAGTTACTTGCGCTTCCAAATAAAGGGACAAGACACGAAGAGCCTAGTGATATTTTTTTTTTTAACTGCCAAGTGATAATTATAATCATAGATGCTTCTTCAACAATATCCTGGCTAATAATGGAAACATGATAATTTGCTCGAAATTGAAAAGATAGAAACTTACTTCCTTATGGGTTCACCACATATAATTTTTTACATATGGCTGTCAATTTGATCATGATTATTCAAAATACATCACAGAATGGACAAGAATGAAACCACAGTAAATTTCCATTTTAAACCACACATATAACCGATTAAGCTATTTTCTGCCATGACACAGCCTCATATCATCTCAGAAATTATTTGAGTAAAACAAGAATCGCGATTAAACTAACACATTCCAATCACCAAATATTGCTCCTCTTCAACGAATATATTCCATAAAGAAAAATTAACTGCCCACCTGTTTCTATTCCATGAAGAAAAACTAAAACTTGGTTCCAGACCCTATTTTTTTTTTAATAAGGGCCATCCTCTTCATTCCAGTGAGGATCTTGACATTAAATCTTGTCTACAGGGTTGACCCTTGGTGCTTATGGATAGATGATATTTTTCTTTCAAAAAGGAATGTTCCATCTAGTCCAAAGCTCCACAATTGATCCCTTGTTTGTGATTCAGATTAAAATCAATGCCATTTGTTTAGTCAGCATCACAAGCCACAAGACACAAGACAGGCATTAACTACTTAGCTAGTCTACCTTAATAATGCAAGCTATCTGAACAATTATTTTATATAGCAAACATCTTATTTCACTAACAAAGCAACAAACAGAAACAGCCACGTTCTCACTCGTCAGACACGAAACTCTCAAGCAGGAGTTCGTCGCAAAATTTGTCCAAGCCAAATCAATCTCATGAACAAAGATGATAATGGCCCATCCAGTTAATAGTCTCCAGTTGTACGCATCATGCTGCTTTAGTAGAAAACCTTTCCAAAAATATGCCACAATCTAAACAATCATCAGACCTTTACAGAAACAAAAACAGGGAATTATCCTAACCTGATCAAGCACGGCCTCCGTGATCAAATCCCCGGCAACCTCCTTGGACTCGGAGATGACTGCAAGTTCATCGGCCACCCATTTTCTCCCAGTAGGCGGCGATATGGAGATGGTGAATCTCTGCAAGTCCCTGACATCTTTCTGCATTCCTTTGGCTGCCTTCTTCTTGGCCATGGCGAAAACAACATGATCCATGGCGTCATCGTTCATGTAAACCTCGAAAGTGATCTCGTCCTTGCAAGGCACCACCATGTTATAAAGCCTGGATATCAAATCGTGCCTGCTCTTCAGCTCCATGGTGGCCAAGAGCCCCTGGCAGTACCTACGGCCGCTGGCGTAGAACTTGAAAACGTTTTGACCTTCCTTCAACAGCAATGGCGAGTCATCTCCTTCGCCAACGCCCAATAAGCTGAAGTTCTTCTCAAAGATGGAATCCTTCGTGGCGAATTTAGCTGCCCAAGCCAACGCAATATTCTCATTCTCGCGTTTTCCAGTGAAATAGTTGATGATGAAGATTATTAAGAAAGAACCACAGATGACTTCAACGGCGTACGATTTCTTCAATACGAAAGCGGTTCCGGTGAGGTTGGCGGCGCTTTCGGGATCAGAATTGAGGGAAGCAGAGGTAGTGGTATTTTCGGTAATTTTTGCCGAATCGGGAGGCAGATGATCGGGCAAACCTTCGAATTCGTCCTCATCCCAATAATCGAAGGAGGGGGAGGAGGGTTTAGCAGGAGAGATCGGAGGATCCGAAAAAGCGGCTGAAGGTTGATCGGCCGGGTTCGAATCGTCTGAGGATGATGATTTATCGGGGGAATGAGAGCGAGTGACGGGAGGAGTTGGGAGTGGGGGATGGAGTTCTAGGGCTTCGTCGGAAAATTCATCATCTTCGACGTCGAAACCTTCAAAGTGAGAATCGGCAATAACATTAGAGAGAAAGAGAAAGAGAGAGAGAAAGAGCAGAAACGATGTGATTGCGTTCATGTCGTGGAGTTTGCAAAGTTCTACCAAGGTTTTTCTTTTCTATATACTGAACGAAATTAGTCGAGACCAGGTAGGATTCGTATTATTAGTTTTTTCATTCACACGTTACAATTCGGCTGCAATTTCTTACTAAGACGAACTATCAGTTCAGTAATTAGAATTACTTTACAACTAAATGGGTAAAAGTAAAACTACTTTTGGTTAAAACCGAAATCAAAATCTATAGTTGATAGATTTAAATACAGAAATAAAAATACTAAATTTTGAAAAATAATTTTAGCTGTCAACAATTTTTGTTCTAAATTTATCTATATTTATTGTAAAAAATTACACATTCTCTTTTTTATTTTTTACTTTGTAAAATCCTTACTTAATGTTAGTTTTTTTTTTTTCCTATATAATCTGATAAATCAGTCAACACTATATTTATATTATAATATGATATTTTTTTATTAGTTCTCTCATTCACACAATAATTACAATTTGGCTAAAGTTTGTTGCTAAGGGTTTTGCATTTAGAAAGTCATTTAAAACTAAATATGTAAAGGTAAGATATTATTTTCATGTGTTGGGGTTTGTGTCCTCCCCATCGTGCCGATTCTCTCTCTTTCTTTGAAAGCTAAATGTCAAAGCTGTTTTACAAAATTCTAAAAAAAATTTTTAAAAATTCTTATAAACAAACAAAAACTTTATACTCTAATTTCAAAACAATGGAGATCTGTGATATTATTATACGAAAAGGGCGAGACTCTGCTGTGCTCAAAGAATAACCGATCAACAAAACAGGTTAAGATACAGAAGGAAGTTTCTAGCTTAACAGTGACTAGCTGCGATGAAACTAAACTTTTTAGGGACGAAGAAATGGTTGAAGTGAATGACATGGAGACTAATAACCCAGAAAGAGAGGATAATGTAGAAGTAGAAAGAGATGGGGACAGGGATCATGGAACCTTAGGAGGCGAGAGGGTCTCTTTTAAGGATAAACTTATAAACATTAAACATCCTGAAAAGAAAATTGAAGAATTTGAGACTAAGGAGGAAGATGTCCTCCTCAAAACAGAAGATGGTGTTCCTATGATATCATTTTCTAATAGAGTACATAACTATATCTCTCGATCCATAAAGAACTGTGCGATTATACACCTTTTAGGAAGGTCCATTAGCTATTGTGCCTTAGTTGGCCGTCTCCAGAATCTTTAACCCGACAAAAACCTTTCAGGTCATCGATCTCAATAACGATTATTATTTAGTCAGATTTAGCAATTCTAATGACTTTATGCAGATTCTTATAGAAGGCCCTTGGATCATCTATGGGCATTATCTCACAGTAGAACTATAGACATTGAAATTTTTTATTAATGATACAACAGTGACTTTAGTGGTAGAATAATTGAGATTCTCGAAACTCTCAATTAAATATTATCATAAGAGAGTTTTGTAGGCTATTACTAAAGTGATCAGAATGGTGATGCGAATTAAATACAACATTGAAGTCTTTAAGAGGAAAAAATTCGTCCATCTTGCCATCACGTTAGATCTTACTAAATCGCTAGTGCCAAAGATGTGGGTGGATGGATGGCTACAAAAGATAGAGTATGAAGGACTACTAATCATCTGCTTTAAATGTGGGTGTTATGGCCATCTACGAGAAAGCTGCCCAAATAAAATTAGTAAGGAACCTAAGGAGTCTCGAGAGGGTAGGCAAGTAAACAAGAACCATTCCACACCACTGCAGCACCAGAAGAGAAGTTCGGTCCCTGGATGCTGGTTGTACGCTAGGGAATAAAGGTTGACAGAAAAGGAAACCACTAAACCACCAAGCCACTAAGGAAACAGCCCCTAACAAAGGAAAGGCAATCACAGGTTCACGCTTTGATATGATTGCGCAATTAGGGGATGAGGATGTGGAAGCCAACAGTCAAATCCTGGAGATAAGGGATCCAGAATCTGGAGATATGGGGGGGCAATCTCCTGGCAACGAAATAGAAAAGATAGGTCTACAGAAGGAGCAACTCAGATAACTACACGTAAAGACCATAATCGACACATCAAGCCAACTTATACCGATGGACCTGTTGAAACTGGCCTAACTAAAGAGCCTAATATAAATACTGCCCAAATCTATGCTGTCGTCCTTACTATGGTGGGCCAAAACAATTCAACCAGCATCAGTTGGGTTGTCAACAGTGAGACAACAAAAGTTTATTACTCAAATAAAATAATAAACAAAGTCAATACTACTTTGGACACTAGCAAACATATAGTGGTCATCATTGATGAGGGAGCCAGGCAAGGAAGAAGGTACTGACTAAACTCAAAACAGAAAACCGACACTGAACATATTGCAACAGTCGCCAATTTATTCACACTAAAATTACGTGGGATGATATGAAGCCAAGTATCTTTTTCACTACAATCTACGGTAGTCCTCAACAGCAGAAGTGTAGACACTTGAGAGATTTTATCCTAGGTTAATTCGAACACCGCGGGTCTGTGGATGCTTACAGGTGATTTCAACGTTATCCTTAATAACTCTGATAGAAATGGCAGTGTGAGCGGGGGCAGCATTGACTGTCCTCTCTTTAATAATTTTATCCACGATAATTCTCTTTTGCAGGTTGATTATGTGGGTCCGAGATTCACATGGCGGAGAGGTACCCTGCTTAAAAGACTGGACAGGGCCCTCTGTACCCAATCTTAGTATATTGGTATAATTGTTTCCTGAAAACCTTGGTGCAACATCTCTCTAAACTTCAGTCGGACCATAGACTGTTCCTTATCAAGACAAACATCAGTTCAAGTCATAGAAGGAACCCCCAACCCTTTAGGTTTCGTGCAGCTTAGTTCACCCATCCAGACTTCCTTAATATGGTCCAAATAAATTGGAATAAAACAAAGTCCTTCCAACCTACACTTAAGAATTTCTCTCATTGTGCCAGCAAGTGGAATACAACTGTTTTTAGACATATCTAAAAATAAAAAAACCTTACACTAGACTTATTGGGATTCAACGCGTCATTGAAAGATCCTAATCTGAGTATCTTATCAATTTGGAGAATTCCCTTTGCAAAGAATTAAAAGATATTCGGTTGTAAAAGGAGCTCTTCTGGATTGAAAAATCAAGGTGTGACTACCTTTCTTTAGGGGATAAAAATACAACATATTTTTATGCTCGCACCATGGAGTGCAAAAGAAAAAACAAAATTGTTATGCTCCAATATAGTATGAGTAATTGGCTAACTGATGAGGATCAGCTAAGGAATATGACAGTGAGTTTCTTTAAAGCACTATATTTTAGAGATGACTAGATGCCTCCAAAATATATGGTGAGAGCATGATTTTTGACTTCGACATTAATTATGCTTGATAGATTAAGTAGGCCAGTCATTAGAGAAGAGGTTCGTGCTCCCTTGTTCGCCATGAAGCCCCTCAGAGGCCCAGGTGTCGATGGCTTACCTGCGATTTTCTTTTAGCAACATTGGAATGTTATCGCAGACTTAATTTGTGAAATGGTGATGAAGGCTTTCCAGGGTGTAGAGTTGGAGAAGGTCCTTAACAAAACTTTACTTACTTTGATTCGCAAAGTCACTCGACCAGCAAGTGTTAAAGAATTTAGACCAATTAGTCTGCTCAATGTATCTTAAAAGCTCATTACCAAGATAGTTGTTAACATTCAAATATATTATGCTTTATATAATCAGTAATACCGAAGCTAGCTTTGTGGAAGGGTGTAACATCTCGAATGACATTATCTTGGCATAGGAAGTCATTCACTCTATGAGGAAAAAGAAAAGTAAAAAAGATTGGATGATTACTAAAATGGACATGAAAAAAGCCTATGACAGACTCAATTGGGACTTTATTGATGACACTCTCTCTGATGTGGGATTTTCGCAGCCTTTTATCAAGCTTATCATGCACTACCTTAGTTCTTGTTCTATGCAGCTTGTATAGAATAGGGATGTTACTAAGGAGTTTTTTCTCACTACAGGAATCCGTCAAGGTGACCCCCTTTCGCCCTATATTTTCGTGCTTTGTATGGAAAGACTATCCCAGCAAATCAACTACTTGATTCACCAAGATATGTGGTAACCAATTACTTTGAGTAAGAATAGTCCAAAATTATCACATATTTTCTTCATGGATGATTTGATCCTGTTTAGTAGGACCATGAGCTATCATTTGTAGTTGACTAAAACTATGCTCAAAGACTTTTGTGAGAGATCAAGACATAAAATCAGTGCTACTAAGATCTGGATCTTCTTTTTCCATAATATGTTGGCCAATGAGACTATTAGAATTAGTAACAAGTTTGGATTTCAAGCTTCTAATAATCTGGGTGTCTATTTGGGAGTTCTCCTCCTTCATAGTAGAGTGACGACAACGGCATATAGATATATCCTTAAAAAAGTGCGGAGTAAACTTCCAAGGTGAAAAGCTAATATCCTATACATGGAAAGTTGTTTAACTATTGCTAAGTCAATCTTAATGGCGATACCCGCTTATGCTATGGAAACTATAGCTATTTTAAAATCCCTATACGATCAAATTGATGGTATTGTGTATAATTTTATATGGGGCTCCTCAGGCAAGACTAAGAAGCCTAACGTGGTTAAGTGGGATGCCATGTGTCGGCCCTACTCCTACGGTGATGCAGGTACTCTGAGCCTTAAAGACCTCAATAAAGCATTCCTTATGAATGTACGTTTTGCCATCCTCACTAAACCTCACTTCTTTTAGATATAAATTATGAGACATAAGTATAATCAGGATGGTGCTTCAAAACTACGACAAAGTCAAAAGATTATTCCCATTTATGGATAACTGCCTTTGAAAAGAGTTGAGGAGTTGGATTCATTGGTATATAGGCGACGACAACAAAGTAAAATTCTAGGTTGATGAATGGTTGGGCAATTGCGGACCTCTCACATTACTGCTTTCCAACTAGTGAAAGAACCCCTTCTGTCTAAATGAGTCAAGGAACTCGTTACCCTGGAGGGTTAGTGGAACTGGAACTTGCTGTGAAACATGTTTCCTGCAAACGTTTTCTTTTAATTGGCA